TTAGAATCACTCTCATCTTTTGTGGATTTGAGAGCAACTCCAATATTTTTCTTCTTCTCCTTTTCCTTTGGTGTCTCTTCAACTTTATCAAGGTCCACCTCATCTTCAAGCATCATCTCATGAGTGAGGAGTGAACCAAATAAGTTCTTCAAGAGTTAAGGACGATAGGTCCTTAGACTCGATGATTGCCATCTTCTTTGATTGCCATGATTTTGGGAGGGAGTAGACTAACTTCCTCACAAGCTTTTCATTTGAGATGATCTCTCCATATGATTTGAGACCATTGACAATCGTTGAAAATCTATCCGTCATAGCTTTGATGTCTTCATTTGGTTTCATCCTGAAATTTTCATAGCTATGCGTTAGAATACTAATTTTTGATTTCTTTACCTCATCTGTACCTTCATGTGTGACTTGAAGCTTGTCCCATATTTCTTTGGCGGTTGTACACGATGAAACTCTTACGTATTCATTTGGTCTAAGAGCACAAAAAATAATATGGATGGCTTTGGAGTTGAGCTGGAACATTATTGTCTCTCCTTCACTCCACAACCTTGGATGAGTGAGAGGTTTGATGTATCCTTCTTCTACAGCATTCCATGCTCCCATGTCACTTGCTTGAATGAAGTACATCATTCTATTCTTCCAATAGGCATAGTTAGCTCCATTGAAGAAAGGAGGCTTGTTGACGGGCATCGAATCGAGACCGGAGTCGAAGTTTGAAGCGGAGGCCATTGATGACTTTAATAATCGATATAACTCTTCCTGAATCGACTCAAGAGGTGATTAAACCTTCAAATGAGTTAGGCTCTGATACCAATTGTTGAGTTAATCGATCGATGGAATCGGCCAAGAGGGGGTGAATTGGCAATTAAAAATTTCGTGGAAGTTTTTGCAGAAAAATTAAAAGTAATTGCACAGCGATTTACAGTGGTTCGACTTTCTCAAACAAAGTCTACGTCCACTACCTTAGCTATCCACACTAAGGATTTTCCAACAAATTCACTAATTTGTTCTTTTTTTTGAGGCCAAAGAGATAACCTTACAAAATCTCTCAAGAGTATACCCCAACTCTTGAGAACACTCTTTTTCCCAAAGAGAAGATTACAAATTTGCAAACTTACAAGAAAACCTCACAAGGTAAGATGTTTGCACAATTCTAGAACAAGAAAAGAACACTCAAATATAATTACAAATGAGCACAAATGGTGTTCTTGAAAGCAAAATGAATATTGAAAGGAAAATTGGCTTGATTTGCACAAACTTGGTGTTTGATGCTTTCTCTCTTGTTTCTCTATAATTTCTTGTTGATCAAGGGCTTCAGAACTTGTTTAAATACACCTTGAATCTCTTCTGAACGTTGGGGATGATTAGTGAAGATCATATAGCCGTTTTAGTGTGAAAACAATTAATAAAACAGTTTGGAGCGTGGGGGGAATCGGTACCCCCTATGGGGAATCGGTTCCCTAAGTGTAAAATTCAAATATTTCGACCGTTGAACAGGGGGGAATCGGTACCCCCTATGGGGGAATAGGTTCCCTCCGAGCATTCTGGAAATCTCGGAGCCAAACCCTTCAGGGGGAATCGGTACCCCCTTGGGGGGGGGAATCGGTTCCCTTTGAGCAATCTGGAATTTTTGGCTTTGAAATGGTTCGAAATACTTTGAAAGATTATTTTGAAATTGTTTTAAGATTAAAACTTATTTTTACACTTAAGTAAGGATTAAAAATGATTTTTGAAATATTTTGAGTAATGTTTTGATATTCGAATAATTATATCGAATATACTTAGAAAATCATTTTGGAAAATCTTAAAATTCATTTAACTTAATTTGTTATATCGAAATATCAAAATGTTTTCAACAGGGTCCCATTAGGGGCATATGAAATTTGTCCCGAAGGACCTCTGTATTTGTCCCAAAGGACCTATGTACTATATTTGTCCCAAAGGACCACTCCTTAAGAACCATATACATATTACAGTGGATCAAATCTGTGTCTCAAAAGACCCTGTAAATGTTCCAAAGGATACATATATGTCCCGAAGGACCACATAGAACCCTCGACTCTTGGCATGCCAACTATACCTATAGCTCTCATATCATATACCATGGGCATTATTCTTATGTTTCATATATTCATGTACTCATGTCATTTCTCTTGTTATCACATAGCTCATATCGCTTATCTCATGTCATATTTTCATGTCACATATTATATCACATGTGCATTTGAATCTATTCACATATATCATTTATCAAATCATATGAACATATATATATATATCTTATGCATGTATCATAATAATTATCATGTATGCATGTTCATAACTATTGTACTATGAAAATCAACATAGGAATTAGACTTATCACAAGTCTTATTCCATTGTACTATACTTATAGTATGCACTCACCTTAGCCTTGCTTTGATTCGATCCTATTTCTTTGATTGTTCCGGAAATTATTTAGGCTCAATATCTACATAAACATAATTTCCGAGACGATTATTAGAAGCCTAAACCTTATAACTTGATGTTAATAACTTAAGCTAATTTAATAAACCAAAAAATCCATTTTTCCTTTATGGGGGTATCGATACCCTCCCTAAGGTATCGATACTCTTATTACATTCTGGAATTTTTCGTTCAAGAGGGTATCGGTACACATACATAGGGTACCGATACACTCTACTCAAAACAGACTTTTTCACCCGAAAATTCATCGGCTCTTTACTGAATTTCCTCATACAAAGCTCCTTTCATATCACCAAGCTCAACTACAACCATTTTAACTAACTTCTATCATTCCCACACCTTATTATTCTCATACTTCATTCAAATTCTTAAAGCTAAGAATCATATCAAATTTTCCATGTAATCCAAACTCAATTCTAACACTTATAACTTCTTGTTTACACCTATGACAAGTCAAATTCAATTTCAAAGTTCATTTATTAACTCTTTTTCAAAAATTCACTTTGAAACCCATTCTCTTTAATCTTTCATAACTTCTCCATCTTTTGATTTTAAGATAACTTAAGCTTTCTTTAAGCTTAGTTATCATCTAATGATCAAAACACACTCTTAAAATCATCAAATAATCAACTAAACAGAAAACTCACATTTGCTTTGAGTGTTTCATGGTGGAGAAGAAAGCATGAAGAAGAAGAAGAGAGTTTCCAGATAACTCTATCCCCCCCCACGTGATTCATTCTTATTAAGGGGGAAATATCTTTCTTGTCAAATGATCATTTTGCCCTTTAATTTATTTGATAATTACTAATAACTTTCAGGAAATATTTCCAAATAAATCATTGAACTATTCAACTATTCTACTTTTATCACCAAATTCTGAAATTTTACAATTTGGTCACTAACCCGATATTGAGGATGTTACAGTCTATCTATAAAACCGAGTATTTGAATATATATATATATATATATTCAAAACCGAATATTTGAAAATCTATATATTCAAAACCGAATATTTAAATATCTATACGACTGTCTATCTATAACATTATTTAATCAAATATACCAAACGTTTATTTGATTGTGTTTGGAGAAATCCTTGTTTTCTTTTTGTTTTATACTATTTTTTTCTCTTATAAAGTTTCAAAACTATCAGTTTTAGGAACTTAGTTGCAAGACAACCCCCCTCCCCCAACCAAAAGAAATGTCCGCTGATGAGTTTCGTATAGGTAGGTTTGTTCGACCAAAATCATGCATACCGCAACCCTAAATCTAATCTCGTTCAGAAGAAGAGAAATTTTCCTGAAGAGGAGGAAAAGGAGAAGAGGAGAAAACAAAAAGTACGAAAGGGGGGAGAGTATGAGTCGAATGAAAGGGTAGGGAGAGGAGAGAAAAATTAACTCAGTGATCAACCAGAAATAGACGTCAACGTTGATCATGCAAGAAAAATAAAATCAAGAGTGGTCAATATAAAATAATTAGACGATTCATCTATTTAGATGTACATTCTTAATAGAAAATATCGTCAGATTCATTTTTATCATTATTCCTACTTTTAATTTGTTTTAAAAACAACATTGGTCCTGAAATTTTATATTGTCAAACACAAAATTCTTATAAGAAATCAATATCTTCATTCCCCATTATCACCCCATGATAAAAATAATATCAATAACGTAAGGTACCAAAATCAAATTTTTTTAATCGGTAGGACAACAAAAACATAAGGAATCATTCGTATAATTTGCTTATAAAATAATAAACATTAAATTAAAATTCATTTATAAACTTAAAAATTAAATAAAAATTTAGATTAATGTAATATCCTTATTAGACAAATCTCAAGGGTTGTTAATAACAACTCAACTGTGTTTGGTAATAAAAGATGTTGAATCTACAACTTTAGACCCATTCATGTGTTGACCAATGGATGCCAAGTTGGAATACCACTCACTGCCATTACTTTTCTTATTTATTAATTTCCAATTCTTTAAGCTAACGTTGTAATCTAAATCTACAAGAGTTAAACTTCTATATTAACTCTTTAAAATTCAGTAATCCCAAATTTAAAACTTTTTCTTTTTATAAAAATATATATTATATTTTAAATTCTAATAATTATTATTTATAAATGAATATATCTCAAAATTTTGAGATTGAATTTTCAAAGGTTTATAATTTCTTTTCAATAAAAAAAAGGGGCATGAAGATATTCTTTCAAAGAAGCTTTTGCTTATACTTTAAAAATTAACTGACTCTATTTTCATATGTAATATGTAATGGGGGTGAGGGGAGATAGGATAGTAGGCTTCCGTAAAAGACTTACTATAGTTAGAATTATGAATTACCCACCGTGAGACTCGATCTCACTACCACAAAATTAAAAGACTTATATTTTACCAACTAAACTGGATGAGCATTTTACTTATATGTTCCCTTTCTTAATAAATAAAACATTAATTAATGAATATTATTATTTTATATAATAAGTAGAGATTTACATAAAGCCTTGAAAGCCCAAGCTTGATAATTTGGAGCTGAAAATCTCATCTGAATTAAAAAAGAAAGCTTGAATTTTTTGTTCCCCAATTTCTTCATCAATCAATCCCTCAGTTTATAACTACAAAGCCACACAAATTCACTCTCTTGAATCCTCCACCTTCGCCTCCGTTGACTTCCCTTAAACTCTCCGAAAAGTCTTAACATCTTCTCCTTCTTTGATCCTCATTAGCCCAAGGACAGTTTTTTTTAATTATTGTTTTTTTCTTTGGATTCAAGGAAGGAGAAAGAGTCGAAATCGAGAGTAAGAAGTGGAACAAAACCCGGGGTGGGATGATCAGATGTTATCCGGTGTAAGATAAGCAACGCCATGATCAACACCGCCAACGGTACTATTTCCACGCCATCTTCATCGGCGAACGCTCAATCGCCCGGTTTGAAGACTTATTTTAAGACCCCGGAAGGTCGGTATAAGCTTCATTATGAAAAGACTCACCCTTCCGGTCTCCTACACCATGCTCATGGCAAAACTGTTACTCAGGTAACTTCAAATTTCTAGGGTTTCTTTTCTTTTTTTATGTTATTACTATTTGACAGTGAGAACATTTCCAATTTATTAGTAAAATGACGGTTTTTTTATATATACCCATCTCTTAGAAGCACTTCAGGAACATATTTTACTAATCTTTTTGTGTCATCCTTGTTCAGGCATTGTTGTTTAAAAGATTGAACTTGAAATAGTTTCAACGGATGCCCCGACTCCTAAAGTCAAATTTGGATAGTTTTGCTCATGCTCATGTTGTATTCATTTGTTGATATTGTATTTGATAAGTTTGGTTGTCAGGTTACCCTAGCGCATTTGAAGGAGAAGCCAGCTCCGTCAACTCCGACATCTTCATCGTCCGGCTACAGTGCTAGCAGTGGGGTCAGATCAGCAGCAGCAAGGTGGCTAGGTGCTGGTAATGGGAGCCGTACACCTGGATTTGCTGGAGGGAATGGTGGGAGTAAAAGTATTAGCAGCACTAGTAGGATTGGGTCATTGGGTTCTTTGAGTTCAAGTAATTCAATGACTAATATGAATTTTGATGGGAAGGGAACTTATTTAATCTTTAATGTTGGTGATGCTATCTTTATTAGTGATTTGAATTCTCAGGATAAGGTAATTTAGCATTTTCTAGCTTAGGTTTTTGATAAATTAGAAGGTGTCGATGGTAGCATTTTAAGAACCTTGGTGTTTAATGTAGGATCCAATAAAGTCTATCAGTTTCAGCAATTCAAACCCTATCTGCCACGCGTTCGATCAGGAAGCCAAAGATGGCCATGATTTGATTATTGGGTTGAATTCTGGTGATGGTAATTCTTCTTTGCTTATTTTAATTTGTTATTATAGCTCCTCAGTTTAAACTCTGCCAATTTATCCGTTCTGTGTGTATTACTGTAGTTTACTCTGTGTCACTGAGACAGCAGTTACAGGATGTTGGAAAGAAGCTTGTTGGGGTGCAGCATTACAACAAAGATGGTTGTATCAATAACAGGCAAGATTTACATTACTACATCCAGTAGTTTTTCCGACTTTTCAGAAGCTTGGCTTTTGAACCTTTCTTCCATATGTGTGTTCCTTTTAAAATTGTGAGTTCAGAATGCTTTGTTTTAGGTATACTTGCATGTCTTTTTTTTTTAGATTTTTTCTCAAGAGTCTAGACTGGTCTATGGTGGTGTAAAGATATATTGTAATACCTAATGGCTTGGAGCAGGATAATTTCTATGACATCTTAGATAGATCAGTTTCTCTTTAAAATGGTGTATGAAGTTTGTCGCACTTTATTATTATGAAAATATATTTTTCCTGGAATCTGTTTTTGTTATTTTAATAGGGCAACATTTCCTTTCAGAAACCCATAATTTTGATTTCTCTCCACCTAGAGACGTAGCTGTAGAGTGGCTTCATTTGTTTTCTCTTTGACCATCAAAATTTGAGCTGTACTTCTAAGGTATCAATTCTATCATTATTAGGTCAGTATGACAGAGATTGTCTTGGTCTTTTACTGAGTGATTGTAAGCCTTCTAGCAATATTTGACTTTTCTGGTACTGCAATTTCTAGAATTTTCCTTCTTCTTTGGCTTCCCCTCAGGGTAATGAAAGGGCACTGACTTCTGTTTCTAGTAGGTCTTTATCCTGAATCGATGCTTTTAATTCCATTGACTCTGTTGCCTTTCTTATTAATTCTTGTAATTTCCAGCAGTCGCTGTACTAGTATTGAATGGGTTCCCGGAGGTGATGGTGCTTTTCTGGTAGCTCATGCTGATGGAAACATATACGTGTATGAAAAGGCAAGTATTTAGTAATGAAATAAGGATACTTTCTACTCCTGGAAGTGTAACTTACAAATTTCACTATGTTCAAAGCATCAAATTGTTCTCTAAGATTTTTCTCTTTCTTTTTCCGCCCTCTAGAACAAGGAAGTTGCTGCCGATTCTTCATTCCCTGTTATAAAAGACCAAACTCAATTTTCTGTTGCGCATGCACGTTACAGTAAGGTACTGGTCAGTGCTTATATTTTTTGGGGAAAAAACTATTTTAGAATTTCTTATTTGTGCATGTTTCCTAAAAATTGGTAGTCTTTACCTTCTATTTATCATCTAAAACAGGAGGCCAGTAATGATTCATGTGTATATTTATTGTAGGTGCTGCACAGCTTTTCACTATATGTACTTCTAGTTTCTATCCAAACAACATCCTGTTTAAATTAGATGATGCATGTATAGCTGCAAGGATTTCTCAAAACCTTTACTCAACACATTTAGCTGGCTATGTAGTCTTGTACTGGCCTTCTGGTTTATACGCATATTTTCATTTCTGTTACAGTTAATGCCATGATAATCTTGATATCTGGCAAGATAGGACATGCCTTGGCACCATACATTGGTATTAGTCCGACTGATCTTTGACATCATTGAGGAATCTATACAAGTTTTCCTCCTATCTTTGTACATACTGTGTTGGTTTATTGACTTGCCATTATTTCCTTGCAGAGCAACCCAATCGCGAGATGGCATGCTTGTCAAGGTTCAATTAATAGCATTGCTTTCTCCCATGATGGGGCCTTCTTAGCAACTGTTGGAAGAGATGGTATCAGTCAACTTTACATCATTTTCGTTTTATGGCTGTTTTCTTTTCTTGTTAGTTTGAAGTTTAAGTTTTTATGTTTCTACTTATTGACCACAGGTTATCTGCGGGTTTTTGACTATTCAAAAGAACAACTCATATGTGGTGGAGAAAGTTATTATGGTGCTCTATTGTGTTGCGCTTGGAGGTGCTCTATTATTTATTCAGATTTTTTTTTTTGAACTCGTGCATGCTGTTTTTCTTGGGTACACTGTGTTTCCAGTTTGTCAGCTTCTTTACTGAAATCAACTTCCACTGAACAGTATGGATGGGAAATATATTTTGACTGGAGGTGAAGATGACTTGGTTCAAGTTTGGAGTATGGAAGATCGCAAGGTTGTGGCTTGGGGTGAGGGGCACAACTCATGGGTATGATTCTAACCTTATGGTGAAGGCTTCTGTTTATCTATTGATGGTTCCATACTCATTTCTTTCTAAATGGTGCTGGCAGGTTAGTGGAGTGGCTTTTGATTCTTATTTGTCATCCCCTAATTCTGATGGCACGGGGGAGACGGTGATGTACCGGTTTGGCTCTGTTGGTCAGGTATATAGATGATGTTAGTCTGGTAAAAGTAATTACCATCGCTGTCCTAATTATCATCACTTCTATCCAATCATGTGTTCTTGCCTCTTGTATTTTGATTGTGTTTATGCTGATTCAACTGCTATGTTCCACAAATTTTATCCTTTCATTAATATATTGGAATTGAATTTAGGCTTGGAGAATTACCTTGGTGAACTTATTTTTTACAGTAGTTCCTTTAAAGGAAAACATGCTTCCTTGCAGCACCTGTATTATCATTCACATCTCATTATTACCGTCTTCTGTATAGGACACACAGTTATTAATGTGGGACCTGGAAATGGATGAAATTGTAGTGCCATTGCGTCGATGCCCTCCTGGTGGATCTCCCACTTACAGCACTGGGAGCCAATCATCCCACTGGGACAATGTTTCCCCATTAGGTACCCTGCAACCTGCCCCAAGCATTCGAGATGTTCCAAAAGTTTCACCTCTGGTTGCACATCGGGTCCACACCGAACCACTCTCGGGCTTGATTTTTACCCAGGAATCTGTACTTACTGTTTGTCGAGAGGGACACATAAAGATCTGGATGAGACCCGGAGTAGCAGAAAGCAACTCAAGCAACACCGAAACCGTGTTAAGTAACTGTTTCAAGGATAAGCCATTAGCATCCAACAAGATTGGCAGTTCTAGCTACAAACAATGACCAAACAATCATCAAAAGAGGCAAGACAAAACAAAGCTCTATTTTTTTGTTTTCCTTTTTTTTTCACTGTAATGTTTCTCTATGCTGGAGTTGCATTCCTATTTGCTAGTGTGGCCGTTCATCTCTTTATCGAGTTGGGTTTTCTCAAAGTACAACAATTGTTTGATCGAAACCGAATTGGAATGAGATAAACAATCTGAATCCATTGTATATTGAAAGAACAAAAATGCCATTTGACAGCACGAAGAGGTCCGGAGGAAATTAGGAACCTCCATTGTAAGTACAAAAGACTATTTCCAGAATATATATGAACACTGACAGGAATAAACTGAAATTGCTCCTTTAAGATTTGTATTTGAAACTTTCTAAATATTATTACAGTGGCCGTAAAATTTCTTCTTTAACGTCTAAAAAATGTAAATAAAGTGGAACTCAAACATATTTTTGAAGTCCCATAAAACTAGATGGTATCTATTTGACTGAATATATTTGTGTGAAATTCCAGCATTTCGTTCATAACATATAATGCAAGTGATTATAAGTTCCTGTTTTGATTATTAGAAAGGTTGGACATAAAGATAACAACAAAATACTATACAGGAAGATAGTTAAGAAACATGTTCTCGTCTCATTCATCGGGGCCATTGTTGACCCTAATCTCCAGAAGCCTCTCAACTGGTTGCCTACAGATCGGGCATCGATTCGTCTGGCATCTCAATGCCTTTGCACATGAGCTGCACATGCACTGCATTATGTACAAACAAAAATTACATCAACCACCAGCTATAGTCTCAATTCCACTAAACTGAAAATTAGTTATAACACCCATTACCCTGAGTGGAAAGGAGTAGCTATTACTTAAAAAGCTATGATGATTATCACTACCTATCAAATTACTACAGGCCAACAGTTGAGTGTTTCCCTTTGCTTTCTTGTCTATTCAATCAATAGTGCAAAAGACCAAACAAGGGAAAAAGGAATGAAGATGAACTAATGAAGACAAAAAAAACAAGTGGCTGTGTTTACCATGTGTCTGCAGGGAAGGACGGTCGTGTCCCGAGGCTCTGAAAGGCAAATAACGCATTCTTTTCCACTGTCATTTGCATCAACATCGTTGTCAACTGAATTTCCGATCCCATATATTTCTTGTAGTTCATACCTCATCCCATTCACCCACAGGATCTGTTTCACTACTCTCGTCTGGTACTCACCCTTCTCCTTCTTGAACACTGCCTGTGTTGTCTGAGAGTTCATGGCTCCTAACTCTTGGTTTCCATCTGACACATTCTGGTTGAGAGGCAATGCCTCTGCCTTTACGGCGAGATGATAGATGTCCACTTCATCTACTTTCAATAATTCCGATTCCTCAAACATAGAGAAATCGATCCCTGTTCCAGAAGGCAGTCTAAACTTCTGTCCTAGACCTTGTTCGAAAGGTACAATTACTGGGGGTAGAATACTTTCCTTCATTGCTGTCAGATTGCAGTCTTCACCTTCTTTTGCAAAGAAAATAACAGTCATCCTGTATGAAGAACAAGCCAAATACTAAATATTGTTAAGAAATAATATCTGAGACCAAACATGATTCACATGAAAATTGGCAAATCCGAACTACGAGAAACGATACAACATAACCTTAATGCAGAAAACTGATTCTAAGAAGATAAAGGAAAACACTTGTGCTTTCAAGGGCTACATGAATATGCTCCATTAAGTATTACTTTCTCACGATCCTAGAGAAATGAAAATAAATCAAATAATATATTTACTTTCAAGGGCTACATTCTTGCAACATAAGTTGAGTTAAGCATCATTCAGTGTTTCTTTTCCTATATATCTAACAATAATCATCGAAATCGGCATAGTCGACACTCAAGCTCTTAAACCATATCTAACAATAATTATATGAATGATATCCAAGGAGCAAAATTGTAATCAAAAGCGACTCGAATTCATAGCTAGAACCATTCTATTCTCAAAGATGATGAAACTGTAAACTTTCTAAACAAAGAGACTGAATTTTTATACCTTCCAGCAACAGTAGCATCAAACGTGAAAGAAACCAAGAACTTCCCAGGATTCAACTCATCAGCTTCGAATTTCAAAGTCTCTTTCTTCAAATTGACGTCGTTCTTTATCGTAACCGCCTTCTGATGCTCTATATACGGCACCGGCGGCGGTGGCGTCACCGGCCCATAAGCATATCGGCCCCAATTGGCGGGGTCCATGTGAGGCCCGCCCCCGTGGTGCCGATGATGATGATCGTAGGGCGCCGGAATTGGCAACGGCACAGGCGGCTGGTGAGGGTAATACCCTGGGTACTGGTAGTACTGGGGCGGGTTGGTGTTCGGGTATTGGGGCGGATAAGGAGTCGCGGCGGCAAAGACATAACGGTTGGCGGCAACTTCAGGCTGCGGCTGAGCTGGAGGAGGCGGAGGAGGGGGGTTCCGCCGGCTTCCATGCCTTCTCCGGCCATTAACTCCGGTACTTCCAATGTTCCCCATGAATTTTTCCCGGGTTTTGGAATATAAAGTAAAATAAACCAGAAATTTTTGCAAAATATTTATAAAGGGATGATTTTTATAACCAAGTTCGATCCAGGTTTCATGTGAAAAATTCAGGGTTTCCCATCCCTAAAAACCCTCCAGAAATTAAAAATATATATAAAATTATTTGGGAGAACAAAAGAAAAACTATGCTTGCTACCTGTGTTTCACTTTCATTTTTCTATCGAAAGAATTAATAAATGGAGAATCTTAGGTTGGATGAATATTGGGCTTGCGTGAAGTTCCACCAAAACCACCATTGATGAAAGATAGGAATTGTGCTAGAGCGAACATAATTATGCGATGCGAAAATCTAATTTAAGATTAAAAACGGTGAAAATATACGCAATCAGGAAAATAAATTGATTGTTAATCAAAAATATTAGGAATAAATTAATATTTTTGGTTCAATCAAAAATTTTAATAATTTTATGTTACGTCTAACTTAAATATTATATTTTTTATCACGTTTTCGATTTCACCTATTTTCGTCATTTTTTAACTTTAAATTACATTGTCGTCCCTCAGATTTTTCCGTTTTCTATGATAAAACTATTTTATAATTGTGTCTATATTTTGAAAGAATATATTTGAATAAGTTATATAAACGATCACCTACAAGTAATTTTTTGTTTTAGCATTGAAGTTTCAAAAAGTAACAATTTAATAGCCGGTGTTATTATTGTAATAACAAATGATAGTTTCATTTGCGCTACTTTATAGTAGTGGCCTCTTGAAAAACATGAGTATGGAACATGCAACTGGGGAAGAACTTCTCTTCTTAATATGGTAAGATGCTTGTCCTTAAATATCTGGGATAAGATTAATATTATATCTGAAAATTTTAATGGTTGCTTCACTTTTACAAGAATATAGCCAACCCCATGTTAAATGCTATCAAAGGTATGCGACTATTTGATACAGAAGGTTTAAAAAGGGGTCAAAACTTATTCGTAAATATTTTTCTAAGCCTAGTAAAATATTAAAAATTTTGAGTTCTTCGAGTTCTATTTTATAACTCAACTCATAATTTGAATTTATTTAAGTCAAGTCGAGTTAAGTCAAGTTTTTAACATCGAGTCGCATCAAAAAAATTAATTTTTCAAATCTGGTCTAGGTTTGCTCTCCCCTACCAATGAGCTTTTCAAATCGCTCATTGATTGGATATGTGGATTTTTTTACACGGACGAAGTGATCTCAATGATTAAAGAATTATTATTATTTCTTAGAGTCTCAAATTCGAATATCATGTATTTTAGGGTGTATGAACGTTCGATGTAAAATGAGATACATAACCGTCAAAGTCATGTTTGTGCAATTACGTATTTTCGACATGCATGACACATATTTCTTCTTCTTTGGAATAAAATTCATATAATATTTTTATACTTTTGACCCCTCTTTTTTCTTCTTTTATTTTAGTCCAACCTATTGTCTTTACGTAGACGAAAGACGTTTCCTACAAAAAATAAAATAAAATAAGAAGAGTTTTTTGATTTTTTTTAATAAAAGACATCTTTGTCTACATGATAAAAAGTATTAATCCGAAAAATGATCGAAAATAGAGATTAATATAAATAAATAATTGACATATGATTCCCACCTGAAAAAGGCAACTTATTTTTCCTACCTTTTTTGTCTCTCAACTTGGTGAAGGTAGTAGGGTGTTTCAGGAGGACTAATTCATTAGTATAGGTACAGAAACGCAAAACAAACAATTGACATGAATAAAATTTTATTTCTCTCGTCTGCATGCATAAAATTAATAGGCACGCCATTTGTCCTACATATTCTCAAACTGGTTTACCTGATAAAAATGGTCTAATCTGTTCACCAGAGTTTAGATTAAAGGACAACGAAGCGAATATTACATCACGCAGGGAAACGACAGCAACAGGTCGTGAATGTTTGCCACCTCAAGAGGACTAATTCTTTACGGTTGTTACATGCTTGAGAAGCATTTGGACGACATCATCTGATATTCTTGCAGCCTCGGTTTTCAGGTGTTGAATCTTTGCATCGGTTTCTTTCTCAAGTCGCTTCACGTTAGCACCTGAATCTCCGCTGCTCTGTTTGAAGACCACAAGACAGGCATCAAAAGACAAAAGGTTAACAAATCAATGATGCTACTATTATGCACGGCGAGAAGAGAAGCTTCCAGTTATCATTAACAATCTTGAGTGACAGAAAGACACTTTACAAGCTACAAGAAGAAGAATCAGAAGCTCAGCCTAGTTAACCATCAAGAATTATTTACCTCCGCAAGTTTCCTCTGAAACTCCTTCTCCACTTGAGCTCGGTATTCAGCAATCTCCTTTTCAGCCTCTTCCTTGGCTTGTTTCAGCCTAGCCATCTTGGCTACGAGATTGAAGAAGTAAAGAACCAAGACAAATTACTTTAGAGCTAAACAGACAGTTATAATAATGAACCAAAAAAGAAACCCCACGGACTACTTTGAGAAGACCAAAAATAATGCACGCAGAAGCAATTCCATACATGTCGGGAAACAAACATGTACATAAAATAAGTCATGCCAATGACTGAGTGCATACACACACAAAAATACGGATACAACGACAGAAAAAGACACAGCCAACTTCTGCATTGGTGTCAAGAAAATATAAAATTTTCCTTTCTCCACAAAATCAGGGATATGAGAAGGTAGCCTTCTATACTTTCACCAGCTCTTGCAGATATAGTATATACACATGAGCAAACATATAAATCAATCCATAAGGAATAATCCGGACAAATAACTGGGAATGGTCCAATCTGTGAATCTGTTGAACACAACAAGTAGAGTAGTTACCATTTCTGGCAGAATTTACAATATGCTGAGCTTCTTGTTCTGCAGCAAGCAACTGTTGAATTCCACCTTGTCCCCTATTGGATTCCATGTTTTCCTACAAGATCAAAACTAGTACTCAAGAACAAGATAATCTATAAGTGTATAACAGTGTAATTGCGAATCTGGCAGAAAGTCAAGCTCACTTCTACCTACAGAATTATGTTTAAGTCTAATAATTTAAAAGTTGAAAAAGATGGCATGAATAATTCCAGACAGATTAAACTTAATGCAAAGCCCAAAGTTCATGAGAGAAGCCTTGATCATATGGATATAAAGTTCATGAGACTAGCCTTGATCTAATATAATTTACGTATTTACTACGTAATTTTTATTGGTAATCTGTTTTTTTGCCCCCCAACATAAAATCTTATTACCGTCCCTAATTAAAGGTTATAGCTCTAAACAGATTCTGCTAGAAAACTTCATTTGAATGGAAGAACTATAGCTACTTTCACAAAGTCTCTTAAACAACATAGAAATCAAGATTAGGTTCAATTAAAGATCTGTCCTCAAATCCCATCAACATCGTACAATTCTATTATAGTACTAGCAAATAGGGTTTCCAAACAAAATCTGGGTAATTTAATGAGCAAAAGGTGTGAAAGTGAAATCTAAAGATAACTGGCCAACCAAAACCATTAGAATTAAAACTGCAAAGACTAAAACGAAAAGGTTCCTTCTTTTTTGGGTTTTCCTGCTTGATCCTTCACATAAGGCAAAGTCTTGATCTTTTGGCAGAAAACGAACAACCCATACGAAGAATTATAGTGAAAAATACTATAAACATCAACTGAAAGTAAGAAATTTTGGGTTACCTTGAAAGAAGTCTAGACTAGTCTGTTTCTTCTTCTTCTGGTCTCAAAGATTTCAGTTGAAAACTCGAGGATGCTTATCTGACTAATTTGATAGGGAAGTAAATAAATAAACAATATATGTTATTACTATCACACACGGAGCTTCAGCAAACGGTGCCGTTTTCAGATTCTCTATCAGAACCTACATATGAATTCATTAATTTCTCAAGTGTCAAAAGATACAAATTTATTGTCATTGTTTTCGTTATTACACGTGTCCATATATAAAAAAATCACAATTTTTCTGTGATATCATCTAAATTTTACAAAAAAAATTATGTTTAATATATTATTAATATAATTAGTATATTAAATACTATATGAAGACACCAAATTTCATCCGCCGCATATTATATTATATTATATAATATTAAAAAATATATTATATAATACATATAGGTATTTACAGTTTATTTTTGTGTACAGCCCCCTTTTGCAAATAAAAAACACATTTGCTGGCCCAACAAATGTGTACAATGGCCCAATAGTGACCCAAGTACAACACGAACAGGTGACCCAGCAAACCCTAGACGCATGCCTCGCTCCAGCCTTCCTCACCAGCGCCGCATTAGGTCAACACTCGCGTCCGAATTTCACGCAACAAGCCCCTCGAAGACCTCTTGTGCTTCACGCCTCCCACGGCCGCACAACTCTTGTCTCAAACGGTCCCAAAATATCTGGCAACAAACAAGAGCAATAGAGTTTGATTAGGACTTAAAGATGTCATTTTTTGTGTATAAATAAACTTGTAATCGAACACAATAGGGATCACAGAAGATAGTACACGAAAGTCCTAAGAAAATTACTAGAGAAATATAGAAGTACTCGAAGCTATTGTAATTGATTTGAAAGGAAATAAAGAGTTAGTGTTTGCTTACCTTGTTTGTTTGTTATTATTTACCTTGCATGCGTATCTCCTTCATTGTTGTGGCTCGAATAAAACCCATAAGAAGCCTTTCTAGCCGATGAACAGGGGTGTTTTCAAGATATACTTTCGTAGATCTAGCCCCCGAGGCTTATGTTTTTAAAAAAATACTCGAATTTTTAAAACAATGAGGAGGTGGGGCTTTCGAAAAAAAAAGATTTTTTTTGCGCCGGCGAGGCGGCCGATGGCCGATTTCTGGAAACCGTGGCCCTTTTTCTTCAGATTGAAGAACAATTGAGAGAAACAAAAGGGGGAAAGTTTTGGTTGTGAGAATGAGAGAAATGAAATTTTTTTAAATTTTTTTGACTTAAATAGCGAGCCCATGGAGCGACCCACGACCCTGTCCATAACTCGTCAGACCCACGTGTATATTATTATTTACTTATTTATTTGCATTATTTTCTTATTTTTATTTAGTTGTTTACTATGTATATTATTATTATTATTATTATTATTATTATCTTTCTTCATTTTATTTATTTTTACCTTTACTTTTTTTTATTTTTTATTATTTTATTCATTTGTTTTCTTTATTTTATATTATTTTCTTTATTTTATTCATTTTGCATTTTCTTTATTATTTATTTTCATTTTCTTTTCTAACGCATTTTTTTGACTTTTAAAGGGCATGTTTTCAGAGGTAGCAATTTGGGTCGTTATTTTACCTTTTACGTTAAACTTTCAATTTTCTTAATTAAAGACAACTGGAAACTACATAGTACCGAAAGGGCAGTTCAAGGGTGTTAACCCTTCCTTGATTGTAACCGACTCCCGAATCTGAAATATCACTGGTAAGATGCAGATCAGGTAAGAAATAAGATATCCGATCAACCCATTTGCTTCAAAATAAATGATCGGTGGCGACTCCTAAAGCATTTAATCCAAGTCGAAGCCCAATTATGGGTCCAACCGAAAGACGATTCCGACAGCTTGGTGACTCCGTTGGGGACATGTAAGTTAGTCAGACTAAGGTAATTTCTAGTTGTCTTTTTAACGAAAATGGTAAGTTTAAATTTTAAGGTAACATTTTGATTCTTTTTACTTACTTTTGATTATATTTTCGAGTAAATAGTTGTACTAATCGTTTTCTAATGATTTTATCCTTCAAAGCTTGTTTTTCACTCAAGGCTCTATACCCGAGCTTCGAACCCTATTTAAATAAGGGTGAAAGCGACGCCTTCGTGTGAATTTATTCATTGTGCGGGCCTAGTAAGTAATCTTTGAGATTCATATACCTTATGTCTTCGTGTGAATTTATTCACCGTGCGGACATAAGGGAATGTGTCCTATCGAGTTTAACTTAGTCCACACAAGCCTGTGATGGGTTTAGGACTAAGGGTCTGGTAAGCCCAAGGGCGCACCGGCAAGGAGAACTCGCGTACCGTTTTTAGAACCTAAACCGGGAGACTATGGAGAATTAGAGCCTACCCAGAAACCATATTTCAACCTCTAGGATATTTTTACCCTAACAATGTTGTTTTTTTTTTGTTTTTTTTTGTTTTGTCATTTTATTTTTATTTTTATTTTACTAACTTTTTTGCCTTTGTGTTTGTTTTTTAGCATTTGCGTCATAACAAGAGGTTGTTGATCCCTAAAAAGAGTTTGTTATACCCAAATAATCTGAATTAATAGACAAAGGTGTTGTAATATAAGAGATTAAAAACACCGAGGTATGACTATGGTCCGAGAAGACTCAGAAAGAGAGGGGAGACAGTCTTCAGGGGAACTATGTGTCAGAGTTAGTTAGCTACACCTCTGTCAGCTTAAAGCAAAAAGATGTCCAAGAGCTACGAAGCATTTGAGACAGTTGGAATGGTGATCGAAAAAAGAAGTTCAACCAACGATATTGTGATATCGCACTTTTGCTTTATGTCAAGATTGATGAGTCCCTGATCCGATCATTAATTCAATTCTGGAACCCGAGATAAAGTTGGTTCACCTTTAACCGGGAAGACATGGTTCCCACTATCGAGGAGTATACTACTCTGCTACACTATGAAAATATTAGACTAGAGAGGGTATATATCAAACACATAAAGAGTCAGCCTTTCAAGAATGGACTGGCCAAGATTGCAGGGGTTGATGAAAAATGGGTGACTGACCGACTCCGACATAAAGGTATCGGGGAAGGAATTGAGTGGATCCATATAAAGCAACTGATGAAGAACCACCCAGATGAATGGAAGACTATATACCTTTTTTCACTGGGTCTGTACGGTTTGGTTATCTTTCTAAAGACTTTGGGGTGCATCGACACAGTCGTGGTGGAACTATTCGAACAACTTCTGAGGCGAGTCAACCCAGCACCGACCATCTTAGCCGAAACCTTTCGATCTCTCAACCATTGTAGAAGAATTGGTGGAGGAAGGTTCATTGGGTGTGTTTAGCTCCTTTAAGTCTGGATTCACAGCCACTTTTGGAAGACTAAAGGGTTTCCTACCGCCGATTCAGCACCACTTATTCATCTTTGGGAGAGTTCATCACTATGAAATGGCATGAAGGTGCTTCGAAGAAAAAATTGATAAAGGTCTTCACACATCTTTAGGATGGGGACATTACCTGGAGAGCCCCCTGGTTGTTTTACAGTGACATTCTTTTCCGATGTGGGGATTTCGACACTATGACTCTACTTGGACTATGGGGTGGAGTTGGGTATTCTCTGATGTTGGCATTTCGACAGTATGGGGCACGTCAGTTTGTCCCAGCCACATACGGATTATCTGGATCAGAGTTCATGTACCATGGAGACAACTACAAAAAGATGATCAAGGAAGCAACCGATTCATGGAAGAAAGTGTTTCGAATGGATGTCGAAGATGCCAAAGACATGCTTACTCTGGATTATTTGGAGTGGCAAATATTGAGGAAAAACGACAACATCCTGTGCCAGACTGTGAGAACACCCTGACCATGGAGGAACATCTCATGCATGTCCCCTCCGAATTTTAGATAGCCAAGGTAGAGTTTAAAGCTGTGAATAATGAGCTGAATCAGAGGGTAAGAGAACTTGAAGCTGAACGCTATTAGTGGAAGCTAGATGCCGACACTCAGAAAGATCGAGCAAACAAACTGGAGAAAGAACATAAGAAAATCTGTTTCGATCTCGAAGACTTTATAAAGGGGTATCAAGATAAAGTCAAAGATAACTCTAAGTTGAAAGTGACCTCTGAATACTGGAAAGGCGAAGCTCACAGCCTGAAAAGAAAGTTCGAGGAGCCTGATGAAAGAGCTTGAAAGGAATAGCTGAAGACTTCTTAGAGGCGCTTAGCAGACAGTCAACATCAGAACCAACACTTGAGAATCCGGGTGGCTGATCTAGAAAAACAACATGAGAGAGATGGCAAGACAATAGCTGAGTTAGAAGCTATCGTAGATAGGTTCAAGAATCAAGCAAGTGAGCTTCAGATAATTCCCTTTGACGAAGGTTTATAGTGGTGTTTCCATTGGAAGCAAGCACGAAAAAGGGTGAAGGTCAGAGACGCAATCATCCGAGATTTCCTGGATCAAGTACAGAAGGCAGCCCGATATCTGCATGACCTGGCAAGGGAAGCTGGAGTGGTTCGACAAGGTATTCAACCAGTGACAGATGAAGGCAGAAGACTTATCAACCTATTAGAAAATGTTCGAGGTCTAGAGGATTTAGTCTGGATGTACCTTTGACTGTTTTTATGTCTCTTAAAAGATAAAACATTTTTGTCTAAATAAGTATTATTTATAATAATAGACACTTTTCTGGATCAATTCCTCTAATTTACATATATTATGCATTGCATTTTTTCATTTTATATTTCATGTTTATTTTTATATTTTCCATGTTTTTACATTCACATTAACTAATAGAACATGTCTCAGAAAGAGAAAGAGCAAACACCGAGTTTACCGCCACGAGCTCAAGACACACATCACCCTCACAACACTCGAACAAAGAAGAGATAAATGGAGGCCAGAATCAAAAAGATAGAAGAGAACATGGCAAAATTGTAAAATGAGTTGGAAGATAAAATGACTTAGAACAGTAAAAGTACCTTTGATTCCATCACGAGAAGCCAGGAGTCCTTTGTCGACCAAATCGTGGCTAAGTTGTCTGGTTGACAGCAACAAGCAAGTGTACCAGAAGTAGGTGCGTCTGAGGGGGTAACTATACCACCGACCCACAGGTGGTTATTTCACCCAGACTGCAAGGGGATTTATATGCTACTAAAGGGAAAATTGTATTGGTTGCAAATAAACAAACTTCTGCAACCAACCCTGACAATAATCCAGACGATTGCCCTAACCCGGATTTTAACGATGAGGATAAGGTGAAGAAGATGGAAGAAAAGATCAGAATGTTGGAATATCAGATGAAGTTGGTCAAAGGGGACCACGACTACTATGGGGTGGATGCAATATAACTGAGCTTGGTTCCTGATTTGGTGCTTCCACCAAAATTCAAAGTCCCGGAGTTCGAGAAGTTCGAAGGGAACAGGTGCCCTTCAGCCCATATCACTATGTTTTGTCGGAAGATGACAGGATATGGGGAAAATGACCAACTCCTGATCCACTGCTTCCAGGAGAGCCTGTTCGGTTCAGCTATCCGGTGGTACAACAAGCTCAATCGAACTCATATCAAGACTTGGAAAGACTTAGCCAAGTCTTTCTTAGAGAAGCATATTAATGATATGAGACCAGATCGAGTTTTGCTGCAAAGCCTGGAGCAGAAGAATAACGAGAGTTTCTGACAGTACGCACAGAG